AATATCTGCCAAAGAACAAATCATTTTGGAGAAACTAAAGGAGACTGAGAAATCCTTCGACAACTTACAAAAGGTATTTTAAAAAAAAAAAAAAAAAGGCACAGATTGAAACCAAGGTAGACTCAGCACCATTTGAAAGCGTCAGTTATAATCCGTACACTTCTGGGAAGATTGAGGACAGTTGCAGTGCATTTAGTTCAAACCAGGATGAACAAGACTAGAAAAGATATAGAGGCATCAGATCTATTTTGGTTGGGTTATTTGGATTTCCCCTTCCCACTCCAGGTTTTTTTGCAGAGGGATTTCAAAGACTGTCTCCCTAGCTTATCTGCAAGGAAAGCATGTGGGCGTTTGGCCCCACTGAAGGATGTCAGTAGGATCCTGGAAGGCATCTCAGACTTCCCTGCTGCCAGTGGCATCCAGGGATGGTGGCATTCACCACTTCAGAACGTTACAGGCTGCGACAAACCGCAGTGTTCTCCCTTCAGTTACACCATGTCCCTCACCTCAACCCCTAGTAGCACCTAAACCCCAGAAGCCACATCCCCAGTTACCCATTTAAAAATTACAAGTAACTTCATGTAAATAATACCCAAAATATAAAAGGTTTAACCAAACATCTTATTTTTTCTCTTCACAGAGTTTCTCACACCAGGATGGTGGTAAGTGCCTTTTTATTATTTTATAGCTTTGGGTTTAAAAAGAGTTGTTGTTACTATAGCTTTGTTGCAAAGGTTTACGGAGTGGGCGTTCTTCTCTTCATTGTAAGTTTCCGATTTATTGCTAAAGCCATTACCTTTTTCTTTGGTATTGCTATAGTGCAAGCACAAACATCAAAACTGAGGTGAAACAGTTTTCCTTTGGCAGAGCTCCATGTCTTCTTCTGTACACACAAGGGGAAAGAACAGCACAGATGGCTTAAAACAGACATCATACAACTTGTGTGTTATTGACCCCTTTCAACACATGATACCCCTGCACCGCAGACTCCTTTTCACGTCTCTGTGGTCAGTCTTCTCCATTGTATACACTCTGTTCATAAACAGTTCATAAACAGTTAAATGCAATAAGGACTATTCCTAACATACAGAAAAAAACTATTAAAATTAGATGACTTCACTGATGAATGATACTCGTTGCGTGATGAGGAAAACCTCGCATGGGTGGATGGAGATGTAGTAATTCCTAGTTTATGAACTCAGTGTCACACTATGTATGATCAGTCTAAATACTGAGCTATAAATTTAGGTATCTGAGTGAGAAAATAATGTGGTTGGTTCCCAGGAAGCTAGAGAGACCCTTGTAGGGCCTCTCCAGGACCCTTAGGACCCAGGAAGGATATCACGCTGATCCATCCGCGGAGAAGTCTGTGCTCCAGACAGTCCTTCTCAGTACATACCTTTGAACTGACAACATGCAAAATACTGAGGTCACGACTATCTCCTCCAGCTGCTGACAAAGCCATGCCCCACTGTATTGTGAGTACAGATGAGGAATATGTAGGATGATCCTAACATTAAAGCACTGGGACACAATGGAAGGTTAATAAGTAGTATATGAGCTGACGTGGAGCTGTTTTGGGGACACTCTTTTTGAGGAGATTCATATGAGTTAGTAAGAGGGTTTTCTTCTTAAAGATCTAGTTCAGAAACTTTCAATTCTGTTAGCAATATACTTCAAATTTTACATCAAATACAGTTGTCAAAAAAAAAAAAAAAAAACTCCCAGATAGGATGCTCCATGGTAAGAAATAACTCTTCCTCCCTCCTGGAGCATTTGAAATCGACTACCACAAAGTGCATAAAGATCCAGAATGGCAAATATTTTGTACCTATGCAGAGTTTCACTACGGTTGTTGGTAAGTTTCCAAAAGAGGAATGGTGCCTACAGGAATTAGCATCCAAAGCGTGCAGGAGCTTTTATGACTCCTGCAAGATGCGGTCTGCCACTTCATCCGTGTTTTGATAAAACGAGAACCAAAGGAAGCCCCAGCTAGCAAATATGAAGCACTAGTTTCCCCAAAGATATTTTCTTGTAGCAATGTACTATTTCATTGGGTTCAAGAGGAGCCTCACTGCTCTCCAGATTTTGCCTGCTTTCAGTGGATCCTCCCAGACTGAGACAGAAGCAAGGACAGCTCGTGGTTTCCGAAGGCTAACAGAAAATTGCAAAATTATGCCAAAGAGAAGAGAGTGCCTTCTGGAATAAATGTGCAGGCAGAGGGAGCAGGGGATACAGCTAAGTTAGCCGGTACCTCTTCTCTTCCAGACCACTTGCTTTATGTACCTTGTCTCTTGCTCTCAGCAGCTGGTCCTCATGGGCTGAGGCAGGCCTGGGTCATCCTCTAAGCAGTGCCATGCGCGGCTGGTCTGGGGATGACCAAGGCTGCAGGCTGTCCTGTTAGCCCTGCCACTGCGGGAACGAGGTGACCGCACACCTCCACACGTGAAGGCCGAGCGGGTCCTCTGTTTTCTGCTTTCCGACCTGCTGTGAAGGTGGCTGATCAGAGCAGGAAGGAAACACATACATAGCTAGCCGAGAGCACTTCCGTACCTTAGATTTTTCCTTCCTTCAAAAACATGTTGGACTTGCTTTACTGCAGCAGATCAGCCACCTGTCTGGCAACCACCTGTAAGACATGCTGCAGAGGAAAACGGTAGGAGCCATTGGATAATACAGGAAGGCTGTGTAAAACAGACACAATCGCACTGACCAAACAGGTCAATTTCAATTTCCCCATCAGGGCAATTTCTTTTGCCACATCCTGAAAGAGTTTGAGTGCATAAATCTCAACGTTAGTTTGCTCTGTGTCCATCCCTCCCTTTATTCTAAATGCAGTAAGGGTGCAGAAAGTGATTTATCTCGCCATTGTGTCCCTGTACATGTTTTTGTGCCATGTATATGGTGGTGACAGCTTCTGAGTGTGTACAGGGAGCTCAGAGCCCAGAGGGATCCAGGCAAAGGCTGCGAGATAAGGGGAGAAGTGGTGGTGAGCACCAGTGGCCGATCAAGTGACTGTCTCTTTCCCACCCCTCCCAGAAAACACCTGTGTTTGGCATTGAGCATTTCTGAGCTTGAAGCCATCCAGGCATGATAAACACAAATCCCACATTTTCCAAGGTATGAGCACACTTTGCCTTCATATAACACCGTGCGAGAGAAAGCAGAGCAGAAACGCTGAGGCTGGCCTTGTCACCTGCAGTCATGCTTCTGCCAGCTCCTTGGTGGCTTGTCACTGACAATCTCTTCATTAAATGAGGCCTGAGATGGTGCTAGGAAGGACATCATTTGTTGCTGCTCAGGTCTGCAGTCAAAACCAGACACGCTGTAGTGCTGTGCTGCATGCACATCACAAACAAATGGAAAGGAGAGAGCTCTGTGTGTGCGGATGTTTATGGCTCAATGTATACATAAAATAAAAGTGACATTGAGATCTAATATAACTCCCTTGACTGCTGAATTTGCCTCAGGGGTGAATTTTTCCCCTGCAGTTTTTGGCCATCTGTATGCAAACCATGTGCTGCTACTTCAGCCAACATACAGAAGCCACAATTGCAGTAACTATAGTTTGCACAAACCTCTGTTTAAATTTGGTATGTATTAGCATATATTTTGCAAAGATGTTGCTCTGGAAACCTGGCCTGGCTTGTTTAGTTCCCAGCACACGGCTTAGAGACTCTTCTGGTTTTCTTTCCTCTGATCTTGATCAGCTGTGCAGCCCAACAGCAAAATGAGCATGTCCTCAGAGCAGTCAAGTGCAGATCTTTGTAGAGTGCTTTCCACGTATCCTTTAAAAACTCATCAGCAATTGTTTTTCAGTTGTAGGGTTTTAAGTAACTTTTTAATTTGGTCTGCATTTATGGCTGGCACAATTACAGCAGCTCTGGACACCTGATGTGACAGGCTGCTAACCTTAGTAAAAAACATTGATCACCACCCTTTGAGTGCAGCCTGTTAGCCAATTTCCTACCCATCTCACAGACTGCTCATCCAATCTGTATCTTGCCAGCTTGTCCAGGAGAAGGCTGTGCAAAACAGTGTCAAACACTTTTCCAAGTAAGCATCCACTGCTCTCCCCATGTCAATAGATGACATTATTTTGTTATAGAAGATGATCAGGTTAGTCTGTCATGATTTGCCCTTGGTAAATCCATGCTGGCTTTTCCCAATCATCTGCTTCATTTGGTTTGTAGTAGTTTTTAGGAGGACTTGTTCCGTCACTTTCCCAGGGAATGAAGTAAGACCAATGGACCTCTAGTTTTCTGGGTACTGTTTTGGTCCCTTCCTATAGATGGGTATGACATTTTCCCTTTTCCAGTCATCAGGGACATCCCCTGATCTCCATGACTTTCAGATACTACAGGCAGTCACCTTGCAACAATGTTAGCCACTTCTCTTAACCTGGGGTGGCTTCCAACCAGAGCCATGGGTTTATGTGGGTTGAGCCCTTCCAAGGGATCACAGACCAGCCCTTCCTCCATTACTGGCGGGTCAACACATGGGTTGTCATAGCTACTTGATCTTGTCATCTGGGGTCCAGCTATGCCAGTAAGGACAGAGACAAAGAAGGTATTGAGAACATCTGCCTTGTCAGCATTGTTAGTGACTAGTTTCCCTGCCGTGTTTAGTAACGGGCCTATGTCTTCCCTGTGCTTCTGCTTAGTGAGCATAAATCTGAAGAACCCTTTCTTGGTGTACTTGACATCTTTGGCCAATTTCGGCTCTAGCTGAGCCTTAGCCTTCCTGATTCCAACTCTGCACACCCTAGGAAGGTTCTTGTAGTCCTCAATGGCTATTTGGCTGCCTCTCCACAGCCACTGTGCTTTTTTGCTTTTAATTACACCTCATTTTTAAGTCAGGGTGGTCTTTTGTTCAGTGTTCTTTTCCCTTTGTAGAGTATGGACTATTCTTGTTCTTTCAGCAGGCACTCTTGAATAACTCCTAGCACTCACAAGCTCCTTTGCCCTCCAGGGATGCTTCCCATGGAATCCCTCTCAGCTGGGCTCTGAGCATACTGAAGTTGGTTCTTCTAAAATTTGGGGTCTTTGTCCTACTACTCGTCTTCAGTGTACTCAGCAGGATCTTAAACTCCACAGTGGTGGAGTGCTGTATCCAAGACTACCATTGGTAGTTATGTTGTCAAGTAAGTCTCAGTTTGCAAGCAATAAATCTAGCCATGTGCTGCTCCAAGTTGCCATGTCCAGCATCTGTAGGAAGAAGCAGTCCTCAATGTGTTCCAGGAACCTGATGGACAGCTTGTGCACCAATTTTTTTTTTCCAACAAATATCTGGGTAATTTAAGCCACCCATGAGGACCAGGTTCTGTTGGCCCGAGATTTCCTTGAGCAGACATAAGTAAGGTTTTGTCAGCTTTGTAATCCTGAGTGGGAGGTCAGTAACAGATACTTAACATAACATCCTCCTTGGTGATGATCCCTCTAGTCTTGATCCAAAGGCATTCATTCAATAGAACTGTCATGGTCTGCAGAGCTCTCCTCTGTACATTCCGATTTTTCTTTCACATAAAGTGCAACTCCACCTCCTCTTCTTTCCTTCCTGTCTTTCTGAAAGTGTTTGTAGCCATCCATTGTGGTGTTCCCGTCACGTGAGTTTTCCCACGAAGGTTCTGTGATTCCTGTGACATCTCTCAGACTGGGCACAGAGCTCTAGTCCCTCCTGCTTGTTGCCCATATTACATACAGTGGTATACATGCACTTGAGGTGGCTGAACTTAGGGTTCTTGCCTTTGGAAAGGGCTGGGGAGCATTCCCTCCTGCTCTGGTAGGTGCGCTCATCCACCTTGTTGCTTATGGATATACAGGTGTCAGCTGTGAACCCTACCCCCCAGCTTGGTTATTTGCAGAAGACCTACCAATAAATTTAGCGGTAGTCAGACTTTTTAAAGATAATCCCACCCTTGGAAAATGAGCTCGTCTGATATTTGCCCACAAGCCTCTGTGTGGGAGCTATTCTGAGCAGTTCTGAAGGTTTAGTTTTGTGTAAGCACCCTTGAAGGATTTTCTGGCCCCATATGTTTTCCCAAGCACTTGTGTGTCTGGTAATACGGAATAGTGCCATAGTTCTAAAACACAGTACAAAAAGCCACAGGACAAGTTTTATGGCATCCTTAGATATTAATAACTCATCAAAGGTTGAAATTATTATATTGAATGCAGTCAGTTCAAATGCTTTAATTTATGTTCTGTCTTACTTCTCATGCAAACGAAATGCTATTTTGCGTCTCATCCGCTTCTTGTAAAATTGATCTCTCATATCCTTTTTAAAGGTGCTAAGTGGAACAGACCTCGTTGCCAGTGAGATAAAGGGAAATGAGCATGGTCGTTTTGTTTGAGGGGGGATGAGGCAAGAACTGGCAGAATCAATCAAGCGCCAGCTTCATCTAGTCAAATACCCCATTTCTGACTTGTAGCACCACCACTTGCTTCAGAAGAAAGTACACGAGAATCCTACTCCCACCACAGTGTTCCCTTCTCAAGACAATAATGAGAGATTATCAGGAGCCGTGAAGCTATTTTTTTAATATTTTATTCTAAGTAACATCTAGAGAAGTTTCTAAACTGAGTCAATATTAACAACACTTAACACTTAACAAAGTATTGTTTCCTAACGCAGGAGGCAAAAAAAACCCCAGCTTACTAAGGTCTACAGACACTTACAGCATCAAAGTGAGAGTTTCACCATCAGGCTGTACAACTGATCTTGCTTACTACTAGACACCAGCGATGCTAACTGCCAGGACGGTCAGCTCAGTTCCTGTAGAGGCACTAGGGAAAAACAGACACTTGTAAAGGATTTTGCCTCCTGCAGAGCCCTGGGGTGAGAACTGCACCCTAACCATGCCTGTTTATTCCCAAGGACTGGTAAGGATGATTGGTGAAGCAGCCCAAGTCTGCACTGATTACACCCATGTGTGGACAGATAGGTCTGTCACTCAAGTGTCTGGTTGAGTGTGTACTGAAACAACTGTTCTAGTACAGTACGCTCTACGGGGTGATTAATTACTAAATTTCTGCCATTTCCAGAACACACAGTACCTTCTTTTTCTGGCCCAGAAACACAGTTCCCACTTCTTTCTTCTGAGAAATTACTTCAGTTTTCAATAATGGCCTGCTTATTTGCTGGTGATATTTCCCAGAATAACACCACCAAGAATTGTACCAATTTCTCATCAGAGGCAAGAAACCCTGCAAAAGAAAGCAGCTGTTGCTGGCCATTGCTCAGTCATCTGTGTCCTAAACAATTATTTCTCGTAGGCCCTACTGCTAAAAATAAAAAACTTTGAAGAAACAGTATGCATTGAAAATATAACAGCCCATTTGCCAAGACTGCCGTTTGTCCAGTGAAGAATGAAATAAAATAATATGTCTCTGGCTGAGGTTTTTTGGGGGTTTTGGTGTGGTTTTTTTTCAAAATCATCTGTTACAAACTGAACTTACATACTAACTTCCTGGCCTTCTGGAATGAATTTGCACTGTGCCTCTGTGCTATCCTTGTCTGACGCAGGAAGGGGGAAAGGGGACCTCCTTACCTACGTTGATCCATGGAGGGATGGAGTGTCTTCTTGGGGACCGTGATTACTATGTTCCTGCAGCCAGCAGCACTGGTGGCCACTGCAGGCTGTTGAGGTGCTAAAACCATTTCGTTAATATTGGGCCCAATTTTGCTGCCAAAGGCGCAGACTTTGTTTTTAGAGGCGGCACATCATGTCTTTGCTGAGGATGCCACCAGGTGCATCTTCTTTTCTGGGATGGGTGTTATCACTAGATGCAGTCAAACTGCCTACAGCAGGACACTTCATCTTCTCTCTGCTTTCACCAGTTGACTTTTATGGTCTGTGCTGGTCTTCCTGTCTCACCTGCTTGTAACAACAAGAGGCACCACAGAAAGCAGGTGCTGCCTCCTACCCTGACACATGGACCAGGCCATACTGAGGGCTCAACAACTTAAATTATAACCAGCAAAGTACCCTTGGAGGTAAAAACAATGCTCTGTTTCACATCAGAGAGGATCTTACGTTTGGACAGAAATTTAACCATTTCCATACAAAACTGAAAACATTTCCAGTTGATAGGAAAGAATGTGATTTTTTTTTTTTTTTTTTTCACCTGTTTTGGTTTGGCACCTGAACTGTAGGTCAGTTGTTTGCACCTCTGGTCTGAGCTCTGCTTTTGCTTAGCTACTGAATCCTAGCAGAATGATATATGCTATCTAGTTATATTTAACCAGCACCAAAACATCTCCCAGAAATATTTGTAAATTTCTTTAGTGTCTCTTCCAAAGAACATATTTAGCTTATATAAGCTTGTATAAGCTCAAATGTAAAGAAAATCAGTCCTTTAAGGTAGCTTTCTACTACTTCGGGGTTTGTTGATGAATGATGACACTGCAGAACTGGCAGGTGCTTAATACCTACTACATGTCACAATGGGCACCCTATCAGTATCTGTGTGTGATTTCATTATTAGCTATATTTCAGCTTTAAGAACAAAAAGCCAAATGCCAGTTCAGTGATACCGGAAACAGCCAGTGCAAAAGAGCTGGCCTTTCATCCCATTCAGTCAACACTAGCATTTTTAGGCTTTTATATGTCTTTTTGAAATGTCATGTATTCTGGGTATCACGTTAGGTTTGTTCCTTACCTTCCCTCTCTCCCCCCTGTTTTAAAGGTCACGGACTTGATAAATCCAGAACCTCCTGACAAATAATTTTATGTGTTCAACTGACATGAGGTTTGAGTCATCTGGACCCATTCCCTCCTGCCTCAGCTAGTCTATTGAACGCCAATCACACGACAGTGACTTTGCACTTTGTTTGCTTTGATCCAATTATCTAGTACAAAGCTCCAGTGACTATTGTCGAGGCTGACAACACTCTGCTGTTTAAGCAATGAAGCCACTGAGGCTCGTAGCACGAATCTAACTGTTTCCTGTTCTCTGACACCAGATGCAGTAAATTACATTTACTCCCAGATCCCTGAACTCCCAACCCTCTATTCACGAACAGCAGAGCCAGTTCCTGGGCGGGACGGAGCAAGCAGAGTAGCTGGTAAGTCTCAAGGAGCAAAGTATTATAATACCAGTCCAGTAGCCTTAACCTTTTTTTTTTGTATTACCTTAATGGGTCTGGTGTCCCAATATCATTTAAATGCCAGGAAATGCCGCTTGATTTGTATTTTGTAAGTCAAGGCTTTTTGAGCAGCAGTGAGTATTCTTAAAACAATGTAGTTGAATTACATACAAGTAGCATAGGAAATGCGTCCAAATTTTTTACATGGAAACATTCATCTCTTCCCATGTCGGCTGATAAAAATACATGGTATCTAGGCCAAGGTTTTGTCTCCTCTGGTGTACCCATGCAAGGCCCATTAAGTTGAATGAGACAGACTCTCACGAGAGCCCATACGTGCTTCAAACTTTTATGTCGTTTTACGCTTATTTGTATATCATTCTTTCTTCTTGGGGAAAAAATGGGGAGAATTACAGCATGTTTTGTGCATGGAGTCAAACAAAGAATTTTCTAACACTTATTTTTCAGACTGAGTGTGTGTCTTAAATGTAACAACGTGATTGTTAAAAGTTGTATGTTTTTCTTATTTTCAAGATCCTTCTTTTCTAAACAATGTATTTCCTATCTCAAGACCAAGTTGCTGGTGGCTACTTAAAGGGTGTCCCAAGGAGTGGGAATGAAAGGTGGCTTACTTGAAGACAGGGTTAACAAGCATAGCAAACCAATGTCTGCAGCTAAGACACTGTACACAGCTACGGAATATGTCATTTTGTTCAGAGGTCCTGTTGCAAGCCATTCCAAAAGCTTCCCTTCCACCAGTGTTTACCCTGATCTGTCTTAAAAGCAAGTTATTCCCTGTGTGTTTTGTGCCATTTTGTCAACACCAAGAATACAATAATTTCTTTCATTCTTCAAATGACCCAGAAGCCTTGTTCATGTAGTCCTTTATAATAGTATGGTGTGTGTGCAATAGTTTAAAGAAAAGGCACTAGTGTATGTGCTCAAGGGTAGGCTGTAAGCACCCACCTTAAAACAAGCTCAAAGCCTAATAAGATTTTTTTTTTTTTTAAAGAACAGCCCTTCAAACCACATCACAGGCAGAAGCCCTGCATCATGTTACACTCTAATGAAAGCTTGCGCAGAAAATTTGTACATGTGAATGCAGGCTGTCATCTTCAAGTACTGCCTTCAGTTTCAACTCTATTGTCAGATAGTTTTGTATTATATTAAAAGAGCACATTTTGCAGTAAGTAAGCTCTGATTAAATAAATACATCTTAGAAATCAACATTAGTTTGATTTTCAGCTGCTTTGACAAGATGGGCTGTCAGGTTTTGCTGCAGAGAACAAATATTATGCATTCAGGCAGATAAGCCAGGTTCTGCTATTAGCTTCTCCCATGGCAATGCATTTCACTAGTGAACAGCTTTCTAAGAAACTTGTGTACGTTTATGCATTTACTTGCACAAGGAGCTTTAATGTCATCCCTCAGGCAGGTCATAATCCACATGTTACGTCAATATCTTAAAAACACTGCTGCTGGAATCATGGTAGAAGAAATGAAAAGAGAATGTTGACAGTGGCAAATGCTTAAGCAAATTAGCTAAAGATAAAATACACAAAGAAACCTGTTAACTTTCTAGATCAGATCAGCCAGCAGGATGGAGTCTTAAAAGCAGTGCTGGAACTTGTTGCCCAAAGTTTTCCTAATAGGTAGGACATTATTACTTCTCAGTACCCCATTAACATAGGTAAAAAGATGTATCTTGCAACTCTTCTTAAATATGGCCATGTCCACATGATTGAACTATCAGGTTTTCCCTATTACCCGCTTCTGAACTCAGGCCCATTATACAAGCCTTCTTTTAATGCACACTACTGAATGAAATTTGTTCATCAAAACAGGGAAGGTCTGGCAGATGACATCCTCTTCTCCTCTAAAAATATGTCCAGTAACATAACACTCAACTACTTCACAGCCTGTACTGGAAAGTCATGCCCTAGACAATATTTCTATTTTTCAAAGAAGAGGAGAAGCACAGGAGCTTCAGGGGAGCTCAGGATGCTACTTCTCACCACGAAGGTAGCAGGTGGCCAGTCGGTAGGCTAGCAGTGCCATCTCAGCAGGGCTGTGGTGCTCAGGACAAATCAGGAACTTCTGCCCATCGGAGGTGGTTGTCTGGATGTGCTGTTTCTCCCTCATAGTTCAGCTTTGCTTCAGTTAGCCAGATGCCACTCGGAAACCTGCCAGTGTGTCAGTTTTAGCATCTGCACCATAGGCTAGCCAGCCCCTACTTTTGCCCCTCTAACGTTTGCAGTCATTGAACAATATATGCCTGAACAGCCCTGGTAAGGTCAAGTGATGTTCAGAGCCCACTCACCCAAGCCAATAAACACAATTCCTCTTCCTTTCCTCCTCCCCCTCACCACCCCCCTCCCAAGAAACTGCACCTAGAAGGAAGCAAATTCCAGACTGGTAGTGGTGGTACCTGTGTCTTTTTGTTTCATTACACCTTACAAGTTTGGATTAAAGGCTTCAGGGCAGAGGTACTTGCATGAGACTTGAAGGACACTTGACCACCAGCTCCTGGGCTGGGACAGTCCCGAGCAAGTGAACCATGCCAGCTACTCTCTCAACTGCACCATGGTGCAGTCTGCCACAGCTCCTTGGAGCAATCTCCTTAGAGTAGTAGAGCTTAACTGCTACTGGCCTTGGGGCGACAGTGTTTTTCCTTACTTCCAGCCTAAACCTCCCATTTCAGTGCGTGCCAGCTGCCCCTCGTTCTTCTGCCGCACACCTCGGAGCAGAGCCAGGCTCTCGTCCCCACAGCCTCCTCCTGGCTGCTGGGGCTGCTGCGGGATCGCCAGGCGTGAAAACTCCAGCACGGGGAGGGAGGGAGATGGGAAAACTGGTACCTCGACTTCCTTGTGAAAGTGAGCATCCTGTGCTCTGGGCCGTGACAGCCGTGGACACAGCTAGTCCGTAAACCTCCCCTTAGCGACGTTCTCCTATCTTGCGATGGCCGAGGGGAGGCCCCTGCTACTGCAGCCCACGCCAGCCTTCAGCAGTGCTTTGCTCTCGGAGGTAACAGTGCTCCTTTGCCCACCGGCACCTCCGTCCTCCGGCTCCGTGCAGGTGTTTGCGCAGCATTGCGCTTGACCTGACCAGCCCTGCCAGGGCTGACCGAGGTCTGAGCAGACACAGGCAGCAGGCGGGTGGCCAGACCCCCATTTGGCTGGGCCCATTTACCAGACTGCACCCCCAGGGGCTGGAGGAGACCGCCTCGCGGGGGCCAGCATGCACCCACTCACCAACACACGAATTTTCTCTGTAGAGCTATGGGGGAGCGTTACGATGCACGTCATGGTAAACTTCCTGTTGCTGATTAAATACTTTGCTTTCAGGATACAGAAAAAAAATTCTACTGTGTGTGAGTAATAAGACTGAGGCAAGAGTAATTTTATTAAATTTATCTATTAAAGCAAGAGTATTTTTTTATGTTCATGATTTTTTAAATAAAAGCATGCCAAGCTACATTGCTTCTTGTGGCAAGGGTATTCCGTACTCACTTAAAATAAGTCAGGAGAAAAAGCAAACACGTCCGTTTGTGGTGTCCCCAGGTAAGATAAACCACGATTATACCATTGGGGTTCATTGGTGGAAATGGTCACCCTAAGTTTCACCGCCTGTGGTAATTTGTAACTAAGTGCCTGTGGATGTCTGTCCAGGAGCCAAAATGTCTTCATCTGCATACAAGGAATGCTTAAACAGATGACTACTTCTGGAAAACTTCTGAGACCTTTGCACATTTTCCTTTCAAAAGCTGTCTAGTGAGATGCCATTGTGCCTCAAAGTGGGTGTTAGAGTGGTGTAGACTGCCTGTCTATTCCTACTGTGTGGTCTCTACAATTTTCATCTTGTTACACGTCCTTCTTAACTTCTATAAAAGCTTCTTTGCTATTCTAAAGCAGCATCCCTTACACGCATGTTTTTACCTGTTGTTTCATGATGCTTTGAAAATCAGTTCATTATTACTTTTTCCTTCAACTTTGGCAATGGTGCTTAGGGCCCAATTCAAATAAACGAAGGAGCGCTTCTTGGCCATTGCATACATTCTGTTAACCTACAAGCAGAGGTCACTGTCGATGCCTTAATGTGGAAACTGAGACACCTGCCCTGCCGTGCATCTGCAAGAGAAATTATTCCATTCCTATGTGATTTTGTTTTCCCACCTATAGAACGGGGGTAAACAATGTTTCTTCACCTCTCTAAAATGTTTTGAATGCTACGGATGGAAGAGTTAAGCAAAAGCAAGTGTTGATAATAAAACAGTCTGGGTGTTGCAGCAAACAAAACTTATCAGCTAACAGGCAGTTTGATGGCAGAGAAGGAAAAGAAATTAGAGAGGTTCACAGAGATGAGTTTCTCTCTGAATTTTGAGGCAAGTTCAAAATGGAAATGCTGAGGGCAACCTGCATGCTGTCACCTACCTTTGCCTAAATTACACCTAACCCAAGTCTTCTGGCACTCCTAATTGATCAGAGGCAGCTCTACCTGGCGTGAGCTGGAAGACTATGTCCTGTTTGCCGCAGGTATGCCTAGCCTCCAGCTGCATAAAAAGCTGTAGTGTAATAACTACCTCTGTCCACAGCATTGCGTCCCACTTCTAACGTAGAACCCTTGGCCCCTTTAGAAGCAGGAGGTAGGAGAAGGGGCACCGTATTTTTCTTTGTCTGTTTGGCAATTAACCATTCACTGGCTTTTTTTGTTGTAACATGCACTTCCTCTCTTGTTTTCATTCAAGCTTTGTGCACCATGGAAATTAATGTGGAGAAAGACAAACAGACAGGAGAGACCAAGATTGTCTCTGCTTCACCTGTTGGCCTAGATGAGGCCCATCAAAGAGGATTCAAAGTCTATGATGATGGTACCAAGGTAGTCTATGAGGTTCACTCTGGTGGCACAGTGGTAGAGAATGGAGTACATAAATTAATCTCAAAGGACGTAGATGAACTTATGCAAAAAGCTGGACAATCAAGTGTAAAAGGAGGGTATGAAACAATGACGGTGTCAGACAGAAATGCAGTAGCTGATGGAAACCTTAGCCATATGAAGGAGCAAATACTCTTCAAGGAGGCAAAGCTGGAAATGGTACACAAACCCAACAAAGGGCATGCTGTGAACCCTCGGCCCCAAGACAAACCTTGCCGTGGCGAAGGCCCAGAGGCCAGCGCAGATCAGCCAGTGACAATGATATTTATGGGCTACCAGAACATCGATGACGAAGAGGAGACGAAGAAAGTGCTGGGCTACGATGAGACCATCAAGGCGGAGCTGGTCCTCATCGATGAAGACGACGAGAAGTCATTGCGGGAGAAGACAGTGACGGACGTCTCCACCATGGACGGAAATGCCGCTGAGCTGGTCTCTGGCAGGCCCCTGTCAGACACAACAGAGCCCTCCTCTCCCGAGGGGAAGGAAGAGAGCCTGCCCTTGGAAGCCGCCCCAGGTACACAAAAGAAAAAGCGCTGTCACTGCTGTATTGTCATGTGAGCACCTCCTCCTTCCCCGCTCCAGGCAGCTCCTGCTCCATCACTTACCTAGACCTCACTGTACTTCTAACTGCAATACTGTGAACTGGAAGTGAATGCCTCCATTGCCTTGCGGTTGGGTTGCTTTGCTTTCTAGTTCTTCAGGAAGAGGAATGCATGGTTATTTTCCCATTAGACGTACTATTTGGGGTTTGGGGAGGGATTGGGAGATTTTTTGCTTTTTTTGGGGGGATGGGGGCGGTATTTTTTCCTTAATGTTGCAGAGTGAGAGAGAAATGGGAAATGGAATAAACGTTTTCATATTTATTTGATTTTTTAATATATATTTTTTATATATATGTAATGAAAACACTTTTTACATTTTTGTTTGGATATCTGGCAGGCTTGATCAGATTCCTAGGATTTTGTGGGAGTCTGAGTTTCACTAGCCAGATATGAGAGCCTTAAAAAATATTGCTTCTCTTTTTTAAGAATAATCACATTTCAACATTATTTTATAGATCCTATTTTTTATTTCTTGGGGGGAAGGCTTAGATAATTTTACTGTTTTAATTTGCTAAAACTCAGACAAGTCTTTCCCAAAAAGTTTGCATAGTTTTGTTTTGTAGTAACTTTCCAGTTTAGTTTGCGGTGTCAGAAAAACCCATCAGCCGTTTCTGCTTATTGGTGATACCAAAAGTGGACCTTAATTATTCTTTCTAGAAAATGTATGAATGATGATTTTGCCTTATATAAATCTTCCAGATTACAGTATTGTATGTGTACTTCATCTCCCCAAATTACAGTTGAAATTAACTTGACATAAAAAAGATGCAGCTGTCACACCAACTGAAATGGAGTCACTGATCTAATTACTTGCCTTTCAGTAACTCTGCCAATGTTTATACATGAAGTTTTCTTGCTGAACTCCAGTAGATGAGAGATATCGCTTTCTGTTTCCTTAGAATACAAATGAACTTCTCTCTCAGTCTGACCCTGTTCCCACTGGATTCAGTGACGAAATTCTCGGTGCTGGGAATGGAGGCAGGGCCGGAGTTTTATTTTGTAATTCTTAGGGAAGTGTAATTTCTCATAGAGTGTACCTCCAGTGCATCTACGTAATGACAGGTGATGGGTCTGATCCTGCCCTGCTTACCCAGGTAAAACTCCTGTGGAGGCCCACCGGAGTTTTGTCAGAGCAGCTGTTTTGGAAGAAGATGCTACAGCTGCATTTTCAAAATTGCTGGTGGTTTTGGATGCTTCATTTTCCCGCATGGGACACTTGAAAGAGGCCTGATTTCCAGTAAATTTTTCTTCACCTGCCCTCTGAAAATCAGGGCTCTTAAAAACAACTGTAGATGAAAATGTAAAAAGGCAAAGGCATCCAAAATCAGTAGATGTTTCTTTGTTTCTTGGTCCTTTCATTCTTCTAACTACAATGAAAAAGCAGCCAGCTTTTTCATGGTGAGATATTATGAGCCTGATTCTTGTCTCACACGTTTTGCTTCAAGTGTAGCTTCGCTCACTCTAGTGGAGTTAGTCTGGATTTATAACTGCAGAAGTGAGATTAAAAATCAGGATTTATATTTTCTGATGGTGTTAAAATGTACCGAAGATTATTTTGAAGTGTCTCTGAAACTATCAGACTTCAAAAATCGGTAACAGCAATTGAAGAACAAAATGAAAAAGTAAAAAAAAAAAAAAAAAGAAAGAAAGAAAACAACAAAAAGCCTCTTTTCAGTATGAGGTCATTCCTTTGATATTTCTGTTTTCTTGGATGGTGCTTTTACTGCATTAATTGTTAGTTCAGAGCATCCAATTAGAGTTCTTGCTCTGTACTCTTTTCTTTCTGTGCCAGTAAAAAAGACACTTGTTTATGGGGATGGTAATATGAGGCACATTGAAAACACACAAAACAACTGCAAAAGGTAGTTCCTGTGTTAGGTCGCTCAGCCGTCAGTATGGAGCCGGTCGGTGTAACTTCCCACTGCCGCTCACGTGGCAGTCAGAAAAACAAAAAAAGCAAGTGGAGAGTAGGAAAAGACAGCCACATCCATATGACACCTGCATAAATTTTGCTGGCCCCTGTATCTGCTGCAGCGGCCAGATCTAATAGATTTCCACATGCTCCCTCCGCCTCCCCGGCGGACTCTCGGGTGGGAGAAGGACCAGACTCACTCACAGAAGCTCTGCACATTATCCCTTGACTCAGGCTTAGGTGGTTAAGGTTTGTCCAAGAGGGGAACGGCCACAGAGTCCCCCATTGCGGCAATAGATGTGGTAGCTGTTTGTTGGAAACTATCAACCTGTGTTTTGGGTTTTTTTGGTTGGGTTGTGTGGTTTTGTGGTGGTTTTTTTCCCCCCCCCCCAGAAACGCTAAGCATTTACAAGTCTCCACATTTCTTAGAACGAGACCCTGAGCTTTGAACCCCAGGGTGGCCTGGTGAGGCTATCCCCGCGCACGTCTAGGACGCCAACATACTGGAACGCAAGGGGTGAACACCCTTCCGTCTCGCCACCGCCCCGCGAGCGCTGCGGGAACCGCTGCTTCGCAGTAGTTCTCTCGCTCTGGAGCCCACCTGTTCACCTCACCGGTAACGCCCGAAAATAAAACCTTCCAGCCACCCCAGCCTGGCCTGGCCGGTCGTCTCGTCACTCACCTCCTGTCGTCTCTGGGTGTGATGCCACCTTCATGGCCACCCTGACCTCCCGGTGTCTTCCCAGCCCAATCTTTATTCCCTTGCCGCTCCGCTCCCCTGTGGACATTTCTTCCCAAAGCCCTGTGCTCGGGAAATTTGGGGTGTCGTCTTTACCCTAACCCGCTCTGTCCATGCATCTCTTCAGCCACGTGCTCCCCTGTCAGACAACCTTCTGGCTCAGCACAGACTCAGCGCGTTGGGGATGACTCCCTCAGCGGCCAGCTTTGGGAGATGCTTGCTGAGGCTGGGACCGGAACGTGTCTGAGACCACCGCACCGTCTGAGGCACAACGTGGCGGGGAGGTGGTGGCATGCAAGAGTCCAGAAGTGGCCCTTTAGTGGTTAGAAGTAGAGCACAAGCCTTAAACCTTAAACCTGCCAAATACCTACTGCTCAGTACTTGTAGCTAACGTTGAGTGCCTAGGAAGGCCAGTGTTTTTTAAGTGTTCACGTGAACTCCATGGTTAATGGCCCCCGAAAGATCCAGAAAAGCTAAAGGCTTGTCTGCATAGGGTTTGTCTTGACGGGTCAAAGGCAATTACACGTCTGAGGTCAGGAAAAACGTGAAACTGGAGCAAATCAGTCTGAACTCAGAGGGCCTTAGCTACATCAGCTGAAACACATTTACTCCAATTGTCCTCCGCAAAGGGCAGCGGCCGTGCCTGGGCATCAGCATGTCCCTTCTGGCCACTAGCCTGCAGCCACAGTACATGGGAATTGGAATGCCTCAGCTGAGGCTGGTGAACATAAGCCGGTTTTCCAGGGCTGCTTTGGGCTTCGAAGGGATCAGTTTTTCACTTGCCCTCGAATTGGAAGCTGCCTGTCAAAATTCATGCACAATCGGGCGCGAAGGAAGAGGTCCGCTCTACAGTCAAGCAGAGAGAGATTTTTGTAAGGATCATTATGAGAGGGCGGGGTTTATTGTTTTAAGCAAACTCTCTGTTTGTTTAATTTAGGCCATCACACGTACATTTGCAATTTCAGCATGAGGGGATACAAAAAAGTAGAGTCAGAAACTGGTTCAGTGATAGCTTTTTGCCACAACAAACTGCTCGCCTTAACTTTTGTAAGAAAAACAAAAAAAACCCTCTTTTCAGTGTATCTTTTCCTAGACCAGGAAAAAATAACCTATAAAACTTTTTTATATTTTCTATTTTCTAAGTTTCTATGAACCCACTTTCCATGTTGTCCCTTGTTTGCATTCAGGGACTGATTCTTTTGCAAATCACTGCATTTTACTTCCATTCTTTCTTTTTTTTCAACAGAAGAAAACTACAAATCAAAAAACACAGCATTATGATTAGTGGCTAGGCAATCTCTTTCAATTACAAGAATATCAATACAGAAAGAAAAGAATTACAGGGTTGTTTTCTTTTTTTAATTTCCCGTGGCTGATGTACTGTATGGTATATGTTTACAGAACTCCTCTGGTCTGCCTTTGTGATGTTATCTAAATGAATGACAAAGTAGGTATGATGTGCCATTTGACAGTTTGCCTTAGCACTCTTGGGTTTCCTTCTTCTTTTTGTATCTTTCTTTTCCTTATTTTTTTCCAAAAAGTGCAGGCTGTATTCCAAAGCTGTATAAACACAACATTATCTTTCAATCCCCAGCAAAGGAAGTGTGCACAAAGCCCTTCTCCGTGAAGCGTACCTCCACCAGTGCAATAGAAGACCTCAGCCCTGCAAACAAAAACGCATACACCTAATTCTGCTGTGTGTAGACCTAGTTCAGTCCACAAGACTACTCACAGGAGGAGTGTGTGTAGGTGTCTGCAAAATCAGGGCATGAATGATTAACACAGGGTGTAGTTTGGGTGTTATTTGTGTACCTGTACCAACTTCATGCACTGCTGAGTTTGCCCAGGGTGGTGTAATCCCAGAGGCTAACTCTGAGCGTTGCTACTTCTGCTGAGAAAAACACGAAACAAAATTGTGCTTAGCATCTGGCTGGATCACGTCCCAAGTCAGCATTGCTACCACGGCAGTGGTGTTCATGAGCAAATACTAAGTGGGACTTCCCTGACAGCTAACACATTAGTCCCCTGCCGTTCCACGGAAGTTCACTACTGATTAAAATTATAGCGATACAACAAAATAATGAGAGCAGAAGGATAGCATACAGACTTGCTAGAGAAATAAAAGGTGTTCTACCTTTTGATTTAGTCCAACATCCAAATGGCATACTTGGAAAGTGGGGATATAATAGAAAACGTAGTATTTTACATTTGTGTATTTTTTTAAGGAATAAATATTTTTGTAATGAGATACAAACCCTAAGTGGGGTTTGAGTTTCTTAGTATCATCCTACCCATGACACTGAGC